AAAAAAAAAAAAACAAAAGAACTCTCACCAGGCCTGGGAATAAAAACTTTTTAGAGCAATTACATCTTAGTTCTTGGGGTTGTGGGGCTTGAACTCTGGGCCTGGGCGCTGTCCCTCAGCTCTTCAGCTCAAGGCCAGCGCTCTACCACTAGAGCCACGGTGCCACTTCCGGTTTTCTGGTAGTTAATTGGAGCTACGAGTCTCAGGGACTTTCCTGACCAGCTAGCTTTGAACCACGATCCTTGGATCTCAGCCTCCAGAGTAGCTAGGATTACAGGCATGAGACACTGATGCCCAGCTATGCAAGAAGCATTTCTAAGTGACGAGAAGTGCTTCAGCAGAGTGAAGGCCAGGCCCAGCAGGTCTGGCACAAATTGAAATTGCCATGCCGTGTGCTTTGCCCCTAATAGTCAGAACGCTTCTCAGGACCAGTCCAGCTAATCGTTCAAGCAAAAGGTAACCAGGGTGTCTGTGTTTAGGGCTGTTGGCTTAAACAGCAGAAGTGGAGGTTCTTCACTAGAAAGAGAAACGTTCTGGACCTGAGCATAGTCGTCATTAGCTTCAGCATCTTGGGACTTGACATGAAGCGCATTTCTCTACATAAGAAAAACATGGCACAATATCGCCGTGACCCAGAGAGGTAAGAGGGAGCGGGGAACACAGGCCAGTCCTACCTCACGTCTAGATTCTCTGACAGGCAAGTATGCTCTCACACTGCCCTTCCTTTCGTCACTGCCTTACCAGACCTCTGTATAATACTGAGTTAAAACAGAAGTTACACTAATGTCAACAGCAGAGAAAAAGAGCATTTCTAGCAGAGGACATGTTGACAAGTTCTTCTGCTTCGGTAGTGCTTAGGTACGTGCTTGTCAAAGATAATCATACACACATTGCACAGAGCAAGGCCGTTATTTGTACTGTGTCCAAGGCACAAAGCCAAAGGAAGAGACATGAAAAAGATTTATGTCCACAACGCATAGCCCGTCTCTAAATGCAAAGGGGTTTCATTCCAGATAGGGATGTTCTTCGCTATCTCCTGTGCCAAGAGCCATTTGGATATTTGTAACATTCTGGCCATATACAGTTATCAGCATAGAAAGCCCATGGACAGCTGGTGAGGTCTATGATGAGAAACCGAAGTGCCTGGCCTCCTGTGTATACATGAGTTCACAAGCTGTACACATCCTAAGGGCCAGGTGCTCCCCACCCCGAACCATACCAGCAGACGCTTGGTACCTCTTTGGGCTTTCTCTGGTCTTTTCTGTGGGGAGAAGTATCTGTTACTGCCTGAGGCCAACAGCCTAGGCTGCTCATCTGAAGAAACTCTGCCTGGGGCAGAGTCCCTGGTAGGCTTTCTTGGAGAACTGTGAAGACAAAACAAGAATTAAGACTGGGTGCCAGCTTGCTCATGTCTACGGAGGGGGTCTTCAAATGACCCAGTTGCTGACACATAAAATAATCAACAAAACCTAATTGCTGTGCAACACCCTTCACTTCCATTTACCCATCAGTCCACTCTCAGCCCTATGAAGCTTAGTAGAATGACTGGTTGGAATCTTAGGGAATGCAGACTGGCAGGATGGTGGCACAGCTCACTCGGTTAAGTCATCGCTTCTTGAGAGGTTCAGGTCCCACCAACACAGTCAAGGAGGTTGGTCATGTTTTCAGGATGAACTGAGAGGAAAGCAATCAACTAGAGGTCACCTCTCAGAGTAGGACCCAATCATCGAGTGCCCCCTTGCAAATATTCTCAAATCCACAAGTAAAGTAGATCTCCTCCCTCAGCAGGGACCAGAGCCACTGCACTCTGAGAGCACAAGCACTGCAGGTGGCAGTCACCATCAGTTCTCCTTGGTAACAGGTTCATCAGCTTCTATGAGGCAGTCAACGTGAGCTGTGCAGTCACTCACCTCGTGGGCTTCCTGGTTCTGTTGGCGACTGTTCAACTATGGAACCTGCTGCTACATAACCCCAGGCTGAAGGTCATCAGCAACACCCTGAGCAAAGCCTGGGATGAGGTGGTGGGCTTCCTGCTGGTCATTCTCATCCTGCTGAGCAGCTACGCCATAACGGTGAGCCCCTCACGCCTGCAGATCTCTCCCCCTAAGCGCTGTGGTCTTGAAATCCCATCTCTTCCTTCAGAAAAGGGTTATTACTGTGTGGACTCATCCATTCAGTTTTGGAGGTGTCATGGAGCAAGAAAGGCTGAGCTAGCTCTGTGCTTCCTTTACTCATTGTCTCTAAAAATGGGGATGAAACTTAGATCATGGTGTCATCAGTGGTCATTTGAATGGCCAAAGGGAATTTCCATTGTATCGGTTCTATATTGGACAACAGAGAGATACACTTGGCACCGCTGACTGGCCCTTCTCCTGTCCAGTTTAACCTGCTGTTTGGATGGAGCATTGCAGACTACCAGACTTTCTTCAGCTCTGCAGTAACTGTTGTTGGCCTCCTGATGGGAATTTCTCACCATGAAGAGGTAAAATAAACAAAAACACAAAACCTACTTTTCTGCAGAACTATTTTCCTTTTTCTTTCTGCTGATACTGAGGCTTGAACTCAGCCTCTTTTGTCCACCAACTGGCAAGCATGCTGATGGCTCTACCACGGATCTCACAGATCCTCTTGCCTAGGCTGGCTCCAAACCTTGATTTTCAGATCTCAGCCTGAGTAGTTAGGATTAGAATTCTCTTTGCCACAACAAATCTAACAAGGGGGTTAGTTCAGAAGAGGATCTGAATCCCAAATAGTGAAGAATATAGTTTGATCAGTTATACACACCCTTATATACCTTTCCCCCAACTAACCAGCAAAATGACAGAATGAGAGATGTGGCTCAAGTGGTAGAGTGCTACCCATTAGCAAAAAAGATGAGGGAGAGTGAAAGGTGTTAAGTTCAAATTCTAGTACCAGCACACACCAAAAAAAGAAAAAAGAAGAAAAAAGCCAAGCCAGGCACCAGTAACCCAACTTATGCCTGTAATCCTAACTACTCATAAGGCTGAGATCTGAGGATCATGTTCAGAGTCAGCCAGGGCAAGAAAGTCTATGGGACTCTTAACTCCAATCAATTACCAAAAAAGACAGATGTGGAGCTCTGGATCAAGTGGTAGAGTGTTAGCCTTGCGTACAAAAGTTCAGGAGTACAAAGCACTGAGCTCAAGCTCTAAGACCAACACACACACACAAATAATACTAATTTAAAAAAGGGGATGGGGAGACTGGGAATGTGGTTTAGTGGTAGTGCTTGGCTAGCATGCATGAAGCCTTGGGTTCAATTCCTCAGTACCACATACACAGAAAAAGCCGTAATTGTTGCTGTGGCTCAAGTGGTAGAGTACTAGGTTTAAGCAAAAGAAGCTCAGGGACAGTGCCCAGGCCCTGAGTCAAGTCCCAGGACTGGCAAAAAATAAGTAATAAAGGGGTTGGGAATTTAGCTCAGTGGAAGAACACTTGCCCAGCAAATCCAATGCCCTGTGGTCAGTCCTCAATTAAAAAATTTAAAAAAGCCAAATTATTCGGTCAACCTAGATGTTATAATTAAGCACTTTTTAGTGGCTAATACATTGGTACTTGGACATATTTTATCACATTGAGAGACCATGTGCCAGTGGCTCACACCTATAATCTTAAGCTGCCCCAGAGGCTGAAATCTGAATCAGTTTGAAGCTAGCTAGGGCAGAAAAGTTTGCTAGATTCCATCTCCAAAATAATCAGCAAAAAGCAGGGCTGGAGGCATGGCTCAAATGGTATAGTGTGTGCCTAGCAAGTAGGAGATCCTGAGTTCAATCCCCAATATAGCTAAAAATAAATAATAGAAGACAATGGGAGAAGAGGCATTAGCATGAAAAGCCAGTTTTCTTGGTGCTGGTCCTCATACTGGAGATTGCACATGCACAGCAAATGCTTTACCAATGAGCTACATTCTAGTCAAAAGCCAGTTTTCTTTGATCTTTTATTACAATGCTTCTGTGCTTAGAAGTTTCTCAGACAGCAAAAAGCAGTCCTTTCGTGACTGACATATATATTTTTTCCATATGCATTTGCTACCCCTTGAGGCTTCCATGTTTAGATACGTTTTCCAGAATTGTAAAAATTCACAAAGGATTTGAATCATTTGCAATTCCACTACAACTCACTTGTTTTCTTCTTTGCAAGTTGTGAAATCAAAACTATATTAGTATTCTTTGGGAACTTATGTCCACATAAAATAATTTTATTTTGCTTTTTTAACTTCCAACAGACATCAATGTTTGCTCATGAACATATCCCCGCTTGTTCGTTTTTTGTTTTTGCTGGTCCTGGGGCTTAAACTCGGCCTGGGCGCTGTCCCTCAGCCTCTATGTGTTCAAGGCTAGCACTCTACCACTTGAGCTACAGCACCACTTTCTCCAGCTTGTTTGTAAGGAAGAAACTCAAATGTTAGTCAAAGTGGTCTTCCTGTCTTCCAGGTTATTGACTTACACCCAGTCCTGGGCTCCTTCCTCATCCTCAGCAATGTCATCTTAATGGTATTTGTGATCATTAATCTTTTTGTTTCTGCCATTCTCATTGCCTTTGGAAAAGAAAGAAAGTCTCTTCAGGTAAGTAACTATAAAATTATTACTTTAACTCACTAGGAAAAAAAACTCCTTAAAGATTACAGCCTATAATCGCAGAACTTGGGGAAGGAAAAAGGTTGACAGAGAACCAAGAGTTGAAGGCCAGTCTGGGTGGGTTATACAGGACCTTTCTCAGGTCACCTTTCTCCCCAAAACAGCAATGTTACAGACTATAACATAATGCACAGCACTAGCCCTGTCATGCAACAGTTCTCCCAACGTATTACATTCCACAGCCACACCGTGCCATCAACCATTAGGTAGCAGAAACATTCCAACATCTGGTGGTCTTTATTTCTTTTTTACTTTAGTATTAGGAATAATTTCAATGATCTCACTTTTTCTCTTTTGCCTTACTCAGAAAGAAGCTGCACTGGCAGGTATGTTGCTACAGAAGCTCTCAAATCTACTAGGAATCCCTCAGCTGAGGAAGAGTCATGACAATGGGTATTGATTCAAGTCTTAAGTGTCTTTCCTTCCACCCAAGAGACCAAGACTTGAACTCAGTGTCTGGCATTTCTCTCCCTGGCTGGCACTCTACAATACAGTGAGCCATACTGAGCCATACCTCCATATCCAAGAAGTGCTTTCTGAAGTCTTATTTCTTGACAGCTAAACATCGTAGTGTCTTTTAAATATCCTGTTACCTCCTATCTTAGTTAGCATGTTAAATATATACATCTAAATATATGTTAGAAAATGAAGCCGGGTGCCAGTGGCTCACACCTGTTATCTTAGCTACTCAAGAGGCTGAGATCTGAGGATTGCAGTTCAAAGCCAACCTAGGCAGGAAAATCCTCATGAGACTTTCATCTCCAATTAACCACTGAAATACTGCAAGTGATGCTGTAGCTCAAGTGGTAGAGTGCTAGCCTTGAGCACAAAGGCTCAGGGACAGTGCCCAAGCACTGAGTTCAAGTCCCACAACCACCACCACCAACAACGAGAGAGGAATCAAAATCCCATGGCTCCAAGTTGTAGCTTGTGGAGCTAAGGCAACAGCTGGGAAGGGAGTAACACTGAAGGAAGACTAGCACAAGGCTATTTTCCTGTCAAGAAGCAAGTGACATTGTTCGCAAAAGCTAGGATATGGAAACAACCTAGATGCCCCACCACAGATGAATGGATCCAAAAATTGTGGTATCTATACACAATGGAATATTATGCAGCCATTAGAAATGACAAAATAATG